TTCTTCCTTTCCTCTCCCCATAGCTTCTCTCTAAATGTCACTCCTGTGTACTGTGTAAACACGATCTGGTGCTGCTGAGAAGCAACAACCAAAACATGACCCACTTGATCAGTTCCGCCCAGTGGGGGGGGGGGACAAGTTCAAGGTCAGGGTAAGAGGAGGCTCTCCCTTCTGACTGTGTGGGGGGACCCTGGTCTCGCCCTGCTGGGCCTTCTGCTTGAACATGGGGGGGGGGAAGGGAGGAGGGGGGGTTTCCCAGTCCACGCAAATTTAACTCACTTCTCCTTCCTCAGCTGTGTATCCCTGTTTTACTCTTGGGGGAGGGGCGCTTTGTAGCTTCCTGCCCAAACTGGACCTGGCCCCTCCTCCTAGGGGAGCCAGCTGGGCCTTGGCCCCACCCACTCAGCATCCCCCAGGTGGCCTGGATTTCTGCATTTCATCCCAGAGAGCTCTCCTGCTCTTCCTCCTCTTCCTCCACCACCTGCAGCTTCGTTGTTCACCTGAACAAAATTTTTGTGTTTGAGATTTGTTTGTTTTTACTTTTTAAAAACATGTTCCCTGCCTTTTTCTTTAAAAAGGACCCAAGGTGACAATATTGCCACGAAAGACAATATTTTAAAAGACAATAATGACAATATTGTCATGAAAAGACCAGATTTAAAAGCTAAAGAAGTATGAAAATATTTTTAAAAGGCTTAAAAACTATGCAAATATTTAAAAAAAGAGTAAAACAAATACCTCACTAAAATGGTAAACCAAATTAACACCGAAAACACCTTTAAAGTGTCCTTTAAATCCCTTTTGGGAAAGGGAGGCTTCTAAGCAGCCAGTGGGGAACAGGTGCTGAGAGACTTTCCTTCCCGTTACCCTGCTTCCAAGTTTAGGAGCAACATAAACTATTTTAATTAATACTGTGTCACCCAAAGAGCTTCAAGTGGCCAATTGACTTCTACCAAGATAGAGCATGTTGATGAAAACATATCTTTATCGATCATCAAAGAAGCAAATCATTCTTACAATGAAATCTCAAGAAAAATCACACCCCTCTGAGAACATTCCTGAGTGGCAGGCTGAGATTAACATCATAAAATTGAATTTGTGCTTCCAATCTTTGATGTAATCAGCAGCTGGAGGATGGTCCTGCCCTTGCGGTGCTCCTTCTGATAGTGGTGAATTATAGCAGGGAATGAAATAAGAGCTTCTTGTGCCACTCATTCTGGAAAGACAAATGAGATATTACTAGCAGGCAGAGGTGGCTTGAAATGGCCTATATCGATTCGTGCCTCTGGCTCCTGAGGACGGTTGTCGTGGGGGGGCGGGGAGGTGCCCTGGGGGAAGCCAGTCCCCCATGGAGAGAAGGTTGCCATTCAGCAGAGAGAGTGCCCCCCCCCCGAGCAGCGGGGTGGGACTCCCTGGGAGCTGCTTTTAAAGCAGAAGCGGAGGAAGACCTCCAGGGCAAGGACAGAGACCACCGTGAGCGCCAGCGGAACCTGCTGAGTCGTCTGGCCGCAGGGCGCTGCAAAAGCAAAGGAAAGCAACCCGGGGAGTGTCCAGGCTGTGAGCAAGTGAAACTCAAGTTACCCAGTCAGTGGCTTCCCTTTCCCTCAGCCCTTTTGTGACCTCAGAGAGTCAGACCTCGTGATGTCACAGAAGCAGGCAGGCAAGGGGAACTGGACAAATATGGAACGAGGCGGGCAGGGAGGAAAGCCAGGTAAAATCCAGCTAGGGAAGACATACTGTATGGTACTGGCTGGTTGTGAGGGACCTGTTTTTCCCCGTCTTGCAGATGGGAAATGAGGTTTAGAAGGCGCAGTCACCCTCAGCGTTCCTGCAAGCATGCAGGCATCTGATACAGTACTGCTCTTTATGTAGAGACCACACAGAGCCAATCAGACCAAGGATAAAGGGCTGGATACAGATTCAGAAATAGCTGTTCTAACTTGAGTAGGAAAAAGAATCCTTCTCGCCTGAGTTGAAGAGATTGTGACGAGGCCACTTATGGCTGCTGTCCAGGTTCTGCTTAGGGGCCCTGGCCTCATTCTTCCTTACTGCTACTTATGTACAGTACTTCTAAACCAGAACAGGACTATAAAACCCTCCCAAGAGAAAACTGGATTTCAAAGTAGTTGTTTGGTGTATTTAAGATGTTTTCGGATTTATTTATTTATTTATTTTGTGGTTTTTTTTATGATTTAATGGTTTAATTGTCATGTTTAAAAAAATTATTCACTATACACTTTCAAATAAGTTTGATGTGGCATGCTATAAATGTATTAAGCATGGTAGTTTCACCAAATAACTGCATTTCCTGTACCGTACGACGAAATGCCCAGAGTCAGAGTCACATCCCCCAAAAGAGGGGATTGTACCCCGAGCAAGGAAGCACCATCTCGCCTTGCATCTCTCTCCTGCGCACAGCGAGTGAACCCTTCCGCTTCTCCCTCTGCTGGAGCGACTGCTGAAATGCCCTTCCTGCTTGTTTCAGGTTAGATTGCCATGAAGGCCTCCTCCACTCAGGTGGTCACCCTATGGGGGAAGCGAGCCCCCGCCCACACCATCACGGCCATCCTGATCACAGAGGACCAGCAGACCCTAGTGACGGGAAGCCATGAGGGACAGATCTCTCTCTGGGATCTCTCGCCAGAACTGAAGGTTGTAGACCAGCGGGCCACCCACCCTGCGGGGGGGCTCACCCCCACCCACCCCCTCTTCTTTCTCTTCACTCCCTGCCATGCACCCTCTCGTCCCCCTGTCATGGCCCACAGCTGAAAGACCTCGGCCCTGATGGCCTTGTGCCTCCTGACCGTGCTCCACCTTCCTTGGGGGCTCCCAGTAATCCCGACCCCCCCCAGTTCCCCCTTCCCCCTGATGCCCCTTCTCTCTCATCCTTTGGGCCGGCAGATGTGTTGTCAGCCAAAAGGCCCCTTGGGAAGAGTTCCAGCCTTGTCATCACGTGCTGAACCTTTTGCTCTTCTAGATTTCCTCCAAGCAAATGCTTTTTGGACACACAGCCTCGGTGACGTGTTTGGCGAAGGCGCGGGACTTTGAGAAGCAGCCCTATGTGGTCAGTGCGACTGAGAACGGGTCAGTCCCTTCGCCCTCCCCACCCGACCCTGCCCCCCCACTCCCCTTCTCTTCCTTTCCGCCCCACCCTCTGTCCTCGTTTTCAGACTCAGGTCTTTTTGGTGAGGAAGAGTTCCTTTGGGAGATCAGCAGAGCCTCAACAGCCCAGACCAACACCCTGTGATGCCATGGCCCAGAAGCAGGGGCGCCAGGCAACCCCCTGCTTTGCCTGTGAGGCTTTGGCCTCTGAGTAGCTATGAGCTGGTTACAAGACATATTTGGATGTATGTGTTTTATGTTGAAGGGAGTTCTTTCCAATTATTGGGTAAGGCAGGCATGGAACTTCAGAGGTAAATTACTGAATTTTGTCCCAATTACAATCAGCTGAATAAACAGCTCACTGAATTAGGGAGTTCAATTCCCCATGTGCCTCCAGAGCCATGAGCCAGCCTAGGTAGCCCTGGGCAAGCTGTGCAGTCCCAGGATACCCCCAGAACCACTTTGGAGTACTCTGTACCTAGAAAACCCTGGAAGGGGTTACCCTAAGGCAGAACAGAAAAAAAAAGAGAGAGAGAGAGACAAAAGGGGTGTGGCACCTTAAAGACTAGCAATTATATTTTAATGTAAAGCTTTCGTGGGCCTTCTTTGCCCACCTTGTCAGGCATATGAGGTAGAAAGCAGGAATTAACAACATAAAACATTCCTGCTTGACTCTTGAAAGTCAGTGGTGTCTGGTGGCATTTTGCACTTGCCATAATTTACTGTATGGCCTCTGCTTGGTTTTCAGTTCTGCAAATATTCTGGCAAGAGACACAAAACCCGTCAAAAGCAGAAGAGAGAGAGAGAGAGAGAGAGAGAGAGTTTAAAGGCCAACTGCAGGCCTTTAACATGATTTAAAGCACCAAAAACAGTGTGTCTTAACAGAGAGAAAGACAAACTGTACCTTTGAGTCTTGTTCTGAAATAAGGGTCCCGTAGTTGTGAAGGAAATGAACAGTAGATAACAGCATAATTATTACATTACAACAAAGACACCTTGAAAGAAATTCAGTCCGTTTACAGGTGTGTTGTATCTTATCTACTGTTATTTTTGCCTGGTTCTGTGTCTCTTGCCGGACTGTTTGGATAATGGCTAAAGAAACCTAAAGAAACCTTTAGTCTTTAGCCAAATCTCCCGGAGTCCGACTCCGGGAGGGAGGGAGGGAGGGAGGCGGTGGAAGGCAGGAGGAGGGCCTGGCCTGCTCTGGGGTCCATCCATGCGGTCACGACAGGACTGAACAACAACAAAGAAACCTTGAAAGAAATTCAGTCCGTTTACATGTGTGTTGTATCTTATCTACTGTTATTTTTGCCTGGTTCTGTGTCTCTTGCCGGACTGTTTGGAGAACTGAAAAGCAAAGGGAGGTGATAAATTGCGGCACCTGCGAAATGCAGCGGGGGGGGGGGTTCGGCTCGGGGAAGCCCTCGCGTTTCTCCGGCTCTCCTCTGGGTGTCGTCGTTGGTTCG